AGTTTGCATTTGACAAGAGTACTTCATACAGATTTTTATACTTTTACAGTGTTTTATTTAAAAATATATATTTATTATTTTTTTCTTAAACTAATAATAAATTTACTAATTAACAACTTATTAGATTAAGTAAAAAAAATTTAATTTTTTAAAATAAAAGTTTGAGGAGTTTTGTGGATGGAAAGAGACATTAAAAGAATTTTTCTTTTATATAATTTTATCTGTTTTAATTTTAAATTAATCAAAATTTAATATTTTTTTAAGATTTAATGTACCTTTAGCATATTGAAAAGCTCAATGAAAAAAATAACAATAATTTTTTAACTTATTTTTAAATTCTCAACAAACTTAAAACTTTATTTAATTTCAATCTTTCCTTTTGATTTTAATTTTGGTTTATGAGTTTTTCTTGCACCTATAAAAGATAATTTTACAAAGCAATTGTTGACTCATAATTGAAAAAGGAATTCAATTGAAGAAAAACAAAACTTTACTTTGTTGGGTATAGGGATGGCAATTTGCCCCGATCCCCGCGGGGCCCCGCAGGGATCCCCGTCACGAGGACGGGGTTGAGAGGAATATTCCTCCCCGCGGGGCAGGGACGGGGGGCATTTTCCCTCCGTGAAATTTCGCAGGGAATTTTTCCCGCCCCGTGGGGCCCCGCGAGGATCCCCATCCCTGCGAAAAATTTATAAAAAAAAATAATTTTATTTTAAATTTAATTTAATTTTTAAATTCAAACCTAATCCAATAAAAATTAAATTTAACCCAATTTTATTTCACCCAACCCAGCCCATAAAAATTAGCCCAACCCAAACTTCTTAACCCTAGCCTTAACTTATCTCTCCTCACTCACTCTCACCTTCAACCTTCCTTTCCGCTCTGCCCCATTCTCCTGTCCCCGAACCTCTCCCTTCTGGCACTCCTTACCACCTCTTCACCAACGGCTCGACAATCGGCTTCAAGTCTCAATTCTCAAACTGGCATCCTCCTTTCCCTGCTTCCAGAAGGCGCTGTCTCTTGATTACAGTGTGAAGAATCCTACATCAGGTTCGATCTGTGGCAGGAAGGCACCGTAGAAGAAAATGGCCACAGGCGAGAAGAAGGGAGGTAAAACGAGGAGGAAGGTTGGGATGGTGAACGGAAGCCTGAGTGTGGTGCGCCAGATTCGTGCTCTTGTGGCGCACAAGTGCGTGAAGATCCTTGCAGGCGTTCTTCGAGTTGAGAACGCTGGTAATGGGGAGACTTAAGCCGTTGTTCTTTGATATGCCGTGTTCTTCGAGTTCTTCAAGTTGAGATCGCCAAATCACAGCCACTGATCTTTGATACGCTGTGTCCTCTCCGGCTTCCATCGGCCATGGTTCCTCCTTCGCGGCTTCCATCGGCCATGGTTCCTCCTCCGCCTCCTTCTTCTCTATGGATCGCCACCTCAAAGATTCTTGCAAAGCTTGGTAGATTTCATTTCCCCGAAATCTGGTTTTCTTCCAGTTCTTGGAGTTTAACATTTAATCTTAAAGGTTTTTGATTTTTTATTAATGTATTTGTTTAATGCTCTGTTTGGTTGGAGAGAAACCTGCGGAAAAGAAAAGAAAGCAAGCCTTTCTGTTTTATTGATTCTCCTTTTGATTATGTTGGAGTAATCAACTCTCTTAGTGCCATTAATGTTACATTTCTCTGATTCTTCTCGTAAAATGTTTGAACTTTTCAAGATTTTCTAAACTTGAATCCAAATTTCTTTCCTTTTTCTTTAGCTTTCTTAGCAACCAAACTGTGTAACAAATTGGAATTTAAGTAACTTTGGCAAAGCGTAGATACTAGAAGATTTGGGTGCTTCTTTGTGTTATTTCCTTTATTCTTCATAAAATCTTAGTTCATTATAGTCCTTCATTGGATCGGAATGCTATATGCCTATGTCTTGGATATCTTTGTTTGTGTCTAGTAAATGAATTGATTGGTCAAAAAATGAATGAATGCTTCTATAGTTCTATTTGAAATATGATCTCTTGTTTGGTAAATGAGTCGGGTGGTGTTATTGATGAGGTTAATTGACGGGGAATGAGGATCCCCACGGGGTTCCCCATTCCCCGCGGGGGAACGGGGACGAGGGGCAAAATCTGCCCCCCACAAAAAATTCCCGCGGGGATCCCCGTCTCCGTGATTCGCGGGGATGGGGATGGGGAAGGACTCCCTGGCCTCGCGGGGCCCGTTGACATCCCTAGTTGGGTACACCAAGTTGCAAATTGAAAGTCACTAATTCCTTGAACCCAGTATCCTACATTGCCAGATATCCTGTCACTTTTTCAAATTTGATTGACACTTTTACAATTTTATCCATATTCTTTACCGAAGCTCAATTATTGAAACCACAAGCATTTTTTCACAATTCGCAAGGCATACTGTAAATCAATTATTGGATTAATTTCATATATGTGTTTCCTTTTAAAAATATATATATATATCATAGTTGTGTGCCAACCGTTCTTCACTTTAATTTCAGAACTCATTTGTCCACC